TCTCTCTCTCTCCTTTTTAATACCCTTGTTTGAAAAGTAGATTCCTACCTGTCCCCATGTCATACAGGACTGGTACATGAGGCTGCTTGATGGCAATAGCGAACACAGCTTCATGGTTTTCAAACTGGAAAGTTACTAAAAAAAGAAAAAGAAAAAATACTTATTGTACACTAAAAAGAAGATTTGGGCTTAAAAGACAAGACTCTGAGTTCCCAGACGATGCAGACCAAGATCTCCAGTGTTGATATGGTAGACTGTGCTAGTATAGGACACTTTGACGAGCACGTCATTGAGCAGCTCCAGGCTCCTGGACTTGATTATCAATTCTTTCTCACCAGAACCTGTGAATTACAATTTCAGAACATTTCATTCCAGTGTCTTCTTTAGATTGAAGTTTGATTGTGAATGTCATAACATATCAAACCCATCATATCATGCAGTGACCCCTCCATGCCCTATTCATACTTTCAGGACTTAAATGTTCTACCATAGAATAAAGTTAATGACTCAGAACATATTTGTTCCTGATTTGCAGTGACCCATCCTTTTAAGATATATATCAGACACAAATCAAGCCAACAAATTAACCTCCACAAAATAACAGATTTGTTTAGTATAGGAGTTCTAGCTTTTTGTCACCAATTTGTATATAAACTGATGAGAAGTGCAATCTCACCTTCGACTGTGACCTCTGCTGGTGGAATATCTGTGGTCAGGACACCTTTAGAGACTTTTAAGACCACCTAGAATAGAAAAATCTGAATAAACTAAAAAGTACTCCAAGTAGTCATACTTGAGGAAATTTAAAGTTTCACCAAGTAGAAATACTACAGTGGCAGCCTTGAAGTTCACTGTTTTTTAAAGGAAACATACAGACCTACCTTTGGAGAAATATTTGATACCCATCTTGCACCTCTATTATTCTAACAGAGTTTGGTGAGATTTGCCTATCAAGCTGAACCGTTTTATAACACTAACCTTGTAGCTGCTTCTTTTTCCTGCATGCAGCTGTAGACCTAAAATTAAAATGACCACACTGTGACAGCATCCCATGATGGAAAGAAATAGATATGTCAGTGGTTATATTGACCTTATAACAAAGAAAATTTAAAAAGGCAAATGATCAAGGAAGTGACTGAACATGTGAATCGAGATCCACCTTCCTGTCTGTAACCATGGTAGCTCTACTCTGAAATTGTGTTTGATAATATATGACATGCTGCAGTGCCTTATTTGGCGTGATCTCTTTTATTACTCATTACCTATGTATTTCTTCATGTCTCACCTGGTATGACAGAGGAGGACAAGGGCTGTACTGTGTAACCTTGGATTGGATACTGCAGAGGAGAGTTGGGCAAAGCAAACAGCAGCTTGGACAGTACAGAAGTTGTCCTGTGGAAGAAATGAGGTGTATGCAAACACAGATCATTTTGACTAATCAAGTATAATGACTACAAAG